ATTTGGCCAGATTTTCAGGAGACTCCACTTAAAGGGCCCCACATGGTCTCAGAATGTACACAAACCCACCCACTCTGGGATTCAGCAAAAGGGAAACAACTAGAAGGGCAGCAGTCATGTACAGAGAGTGAGTGAAATGACGGGAAAAGGGGCAAGTGCCAGGCATACCTCCAGAAGCCAGGCAGCGGCACTGTCCCCTCTCCAAACCCTCCCCCACACAGAGCCACAAAGCAGTGAAGCAGGTTGCCCCCGCCCTGGTGATTACCCAAGGCTCCAACCAACACAATTTACAGGTGCTTTTTCTACAATAGGCCACAATACTAAGACGAGAAGTCAAGGCAGCTCTACCTAATACACAGAAACAAACACAGGGAAGCTGCCAAATTGAGGAGACAAAGAAATATGGCCCAAATGAAAGAAAAGAACAAAACCGCAGAAAAAGAACTCATTGAAACAGAGATAACCAATCTTTCAGATGCAGAGTTCAAAACACTGGTGATCAGGAAGCTCAAAGAACTCACTGAGTGTGACAGCAACATAAAGGAAGAAATGAAGGTTATACTAAGTGAAATAAAGAAAACTCTACAGGGAGCCAACGGTGAAGGGGAGGAAGCCAGGATTCAAATCGATGATTTGGAACATAAGGAAGAAATAAGCATTCAACCAGAACAGCAAGAAGAGACAAGAATTCAAAAAAAACGAGGATAGTATAAGAAGCCTCTGGGACATCTCCAAACATACCAACATCTGAATCAAAGGGGTGCCAGGAGGAGAAAAGGAAGAGCAAGAAATTGAAAACTTATTTGAAAAAATAATGAAAGAAAACTTTCCTAATTTGGTGAAGGAAACAGACATACAAGTCCAGAAAGGAGAGTCCCAAGCAAGTCAGACCCAAAAAAGACCACATCAAGACACATAGTAATTAAAATGCCAAAGGTTAAAGATAAAGAGGGAATCTTAAAAGCAGCAAGGGAAAAGGAGAGAGTTACCTACAAAGCAGTTCCCATAAGACTGTCAGCTGATTTCTCAAAAGAAACTTTGCAGGCAAGAAGGGACTGGCAAGAAGTATTCAAAGTGATAAAAAGCAAGGACCTACAACCTAGATTACTCTATCCAGTCAAACTATCATTTAGAATGGAAGGGCACACGAAGTGCTTCCCAGACAAGGTAAAGCTAAAGGAGTTCATCATCACCAAGCCCTTAATACATGAAATGTTAAAGGGACTTATTTAAGAAAAAGATGATCAAACCTATGAACAATAAAGTGGCAACAAATTCATAACTATCAACAACTGAATCTAAAAAAACAAACTAAGCCCTTGCTGGTGAGGCTCAGTGGACGGAGTGCCAGCCTGTGAACTGAAAGGTCACCAGTTCGATTCTGTCAGGGCATATGCCTGGGTGGCCCAGGCTCCCAGTAGGGGGCATGCAAGAGGTAACCACACATTAATGTTTCTCTTCCTGTCTTTCTCCCTCCCTTCCTCTCTCTCTAAAAATAAATAAAACCTTAAAAAAAAAAAAAAAAAACCAATAAAAAAGCAAACAGCCAGAACAGGAACAGAATCATAGATATGGAGATTATTTGGAGGGTTATCAGTTGGGAGGGGAAAAGGGGAGAATGGAGGAAAAGTTGCAGGGATTAAGAAGCATAACCGGTAAGTACAAAATAGACAGGGGGATGTTAAGAAGTGTAGGAAATGGAGAAGCCAAAGAACTTATATGCATGACCCATGAACTAAGGGGGGGAATTGTTGGAGGGAAGGGGAGTACCATGCAGAGGAAAGCAAAGGGGGAAAAATTGGGACAACATAATCAATAAAATAAACTAAAAGAATTTAAAAATAATAAAGCCGGGTGAAGGGTCTACTTCACATTGGATGATCAGAAATATCTCATTCAGTGTAGTGATTATAGGGGTTAGGGGGTGGGTGGAAGTGGAAGACGGTATAGGGGCGAGAAATGGTAATGGAAAAAAATACAATAAAAAAGAAATTATTTTAAAAAAGAAAGAAAAATCTCATCTCAATGCATACATTTGAGGTTTAATTTGAAATAGTATGGAGTCATTCATGTAAAGATCAGAAGGAAAAGCATTCCAGATGAGCACAGAGGCCCTGAGGTGTAAATGAGAATGCCATGATAAAGCAAACAAGAGACCAATTTGACTTTAGCATAGTGAGAGGGAGAGTAGTATGATATGAGGACTAGAAGACAGGGGCCAGATTAGGTAGGATCTATTAGGCTATGTCACAGCATCTGGATAAAGTGAAACAGGAAGTCATTGGACGATTTTAAGTGGGGAAAGAACATGATCTTTAAAGATCACTTTGCCAGGTATGTGGGGAATGGATTATGGAGGGTGGTCAAAATAGAAGGCAGATGATCATTCAGGAAACTACTGAAGTTAAAGGGGCACAAAAAATAATAATAAATTGGAAAAGATGCTTGCTACTGTGAGAATTAATTGGGATGTAAATAAACTCCTAAATTCAGTGTCTGATAAGTAAGCACAGAACAATAAAATTGTGTGAGATAATAAAAAATATCCACTGGTCTCTGCCCCTGGTTCCTGACTCAGGCTTCCTAAAACCCTTGTAAATTTTCTTAAGTGATAAAGTACCAGCAGCATTTTTTTTTTTTCTAAGCTCACTCTGAGTGGGCTCCTGGATGGGGGCTGGTACCAGAAAGAATGAGCCATAATTAGAAGCTTGGAATTTTCAGCCCCACCTCCCATGCTCCAGAGAGAATAGATGGGGTGGAAATGGAGTAATTGATCACGCCTATATTATGAAGCCTCCATAAAAATCCCCAAAGAACAGGAAGCCCAAGTGTACTATGCTAAGAAAAATGTAATATTTATATAAAGCCTTTGATATAGTGCTTGGCACAGGGTAAATGCTCAATAAATGGTAACTATTACCTCCATCTGTATGGTCTTTGGAAGACTAAGTGATGTCTACCTAACATCAACTGCTTGATTAACTTGATAGTAGAGCTACAGGAATTCTAATCTAATTCAACCCTTTGATTTTTCAGGTGGAAAAAGTAAGGTTTAAAAGGGTTAAAGGCTTGCCCTGGCTGATGAAGCTCAGCTGGCTAGAGCGTTGTCCCATACACCAAAAGGCTGCGGGGTTTGGTTCCAATCATGGCACATACCTAGGTTGAGGGTTCGATCCCTGGTCCAGGCATGTATGATCCCCAGTCAGGGAGCCTACGGGAGGCAACCAATCGATCTCTCTCTTTCTCTCTTTCTAAAAGCAATGAAAAAATTTCATTGGTGAGGATAAAATAAATAAATAAAAGGACTAAATGACTTTCAAAGCCAGCAATGACCAAACCTGAATCTCCAGTCTGGTTTCCATTACATGTCACAGATCTGCAGTGTGGTAGTGTTCAAACATTTATAAGAAGGTAACAAACACACAGCTGCTATACCTGACTTTTTCATTCTCTTTATTAAAGTCTTCACTGAGCTATGATCTTAATATAAAAATCATCAACAAGCAAATTAGGTATATACTGTCTTAGGAGTTAACAATGAAACCATCTTGATAATGCAATTCTATCATGGACACTTGATGAATGACAGCAAAGAGAGCAGCTGTTGTATCACTGAAGTAGAGAGACTACAAGCACAAATACAAAGGAGAAAATGATTTAAAGCATTTTCTGAAAGACAATAGCTGTGGGTCACTAAGAAAGTGAGACAAACTCTCTTGGCATATAGCAACAACAAAATTATTTGTTTTAAGCAAAGACTAATAGGGAGGGAATCTAATAAAGCATTGGGAGATCAAGGCTAAAGGCCACAATACAGAGAGAGTTGTAGCAAATTTTCCCTTTCACAGAGTGGGAAGGCCAGCCTTGAACTTTCAAATCCTTTTGTGTATGAGATCAGGGTTTCCATCCCCTACGCCTATAAAAATAAAAAATAATCTCTGTATGGGAGAGGGAAATAGAACATGGCATAGAGGGGAATTCTCTATCTGTGGTGAATTAAATTAAACTCGTTTCCTGAACATTTACTACAGGGGTACCTCGTTTTATTGCTTCACTTTGTTGAGCAAGACCCTCCACCAGCAAAATGGTTATTGCTCACTTTATTGCGACATTCCTAGTACGGTGGTCTGGAACCAATCTGCAATATCTACGAGGTATGTCTGTGTAAAACATTGTGAAAAATGCTTGCTTTGCCTCAAAGACCACAAAATTACATTGGAGAAGGGAGGAGAATGAGGTTTGCGTTAGGACACAAACCACCCAAGGAATACAGGCGCTCTAAGAGAAAGAGGTTCCAGATAGGGTTATGGGTTCAAAGGGAGGAGGTCATCGAGACTCAGAAAAGGCTTCATAGATGTGGCGTCCAAGGCAATCGCTGAAGAAAAGGCAGAAATGTGGGGACTAAGGATAGGAAAGCTGAGCGCTGTGGCAACCAGAAACCAACTGACAACCGCCCGCCTCTTCACCCGCTCGGCGGGCGCCCAGCGCAACGTGCCTCTCCCGCGGGGCAGGGGCCAAGGCTCCGGAGCAGGCCTACCCCGTCCAGGTTCTCACCAGCCCTTTCTCACCTCGGAGGCTTCCAAATTTCTCCACGGTCAGCCCTATCTAAGGGCAGAAAATGACAGGAGAGAAACCCCAGGCTGGCCTCCGACGTGTCCCCTGAACTCACAGGCTAGTGGCGGCGGCCAAGCCGGATCCCCATGGTAACGCCTCAGAGTGCCCGTTCGAACGCCCGCGCGGACGCCCGCGCGCTGGCAGTCCTGCGTTGTCCCCCAATGGGCATCCAGGGAACTCCTTGAAGTTGGCCGCCTTCTCCTCTAGAAGACCAATCAGAGATCCGAGAAAACAATGGGCGTAACTCTCAAGTTCCGTCTTCCAACCAATCGTTACGGTTGAGTGAAGATCTCGCGACGTTTTAAGCGAGAAAAAGGCGCCTTCGAGGCGAGTGGAGGATCCTTCTGCTTCATACTATTGGTCTCCCAATGCTCAATCGCGCTCTCCGGATTGGTCGACGTATTTCCGGCCCCGTACCGGAGTCTCCTGCCTCCCACCGCTGTGGGTGAGTATTCTTAGAGTGGGCGCTCTGGGTTCAATATTCCGCGAAGCAACTAAGGCTCAGGCAATTCAGTGGACTAATCTCACGTTGCTGCAGGGTCAAAGATTGTTGCGCCCTCCACCAAGCCCCAGCTGCTCGCAGGACCTCAGGGCCTCAGTTTTCTGTGTGCACCGAGAGAAGGGAGAGTTCAGTGACCGTTGAGCCTTGCTTTCCTCCTTGCGAGTGGTGATGGGATGGGTGGCCGGGATCCCAGAGTTCCCAGGTTTAGCGGCCCGAGCCCATCCTATCTTCCTCTCCCTGGGCCTCAGTTTTTACCTTGTTTTCAAACTTAAATCCCTGCTTACTTTCCAAAAGAGCTTTTATATTTTCTAATTGCTTCATTTATTGAATGGAAAACATTCATTTATTGAATGGCAATGATAGCAGAAGGAAAGAAAGCCGTACGAGAGTCTCACCAGGCCAGAACGAAGACTAAAGGAACTGTTACCTAAAACATCACTTCCTTTAGTATTTCTTCTGGCCTGGTTTGGGCCCAATGTATTTGTTACTCTATTTAAGATATACAAGTAAAGTAAACTGAATGCAAACAAATAGCCAAATGTAGACTGCTAATGCAGAGTTGAGGTTAAGGGCGATGATGTTGGGAGTCAGGCAGCCCTGATTTTGTTTTACTGCCCAAACACATCTCTGGACCATCGTTTCCTTTTTTCCTCTTCTGAAAAATGGCACTCATACCTCAGAGGGTTGTTGTGAAGATTAATTGAAATAATGAAGGTGAAGCACTTGGCACGATGCCTGGCAAGTAGTAACTCCTCAAAAAATGGTAGCTATTAACTTAATAATAAAAACAAATATACTAGCCAATGGGCCAGTAGACTTACTGTAATTGAGTACCCAATTTAGCTCAAAACTTGTCAGGTAAAGAAATAACATAATTAAGGAAACAATCCACTTGAAAGTGAAATTTCTTTCTAGTGCCTATATTAGAAGAAATTTATCTTGTGAGACTTTTTTTTTTTTTTAAAGATTTTGTTTATTTTTAGAGAGAGGGGAAGGGAAGGAAAAAGAGGGAGAGAAACATCAGTATGTGGTTGCCTCTCAGGTGCCCTCATTGGAGACATGGCCAGCAACCCAGGCATGTGCTCTGACTGGGAGTTGAACTGGGGACCCTTTGGGTTGCAGACTGGTGCTCAGTCCACTGAGCCACACCAACCAGGGCTGGTGAGACCTTTTACATAAGGAATATACATGGTGTGATGAATGGTGTATTTGCCAGCAGTTTTGCAGAAAATATGAAAAGCCATTTCTTGATTCAACTATCAGTAAAAGCTAAGAATGTGCCATTAAAACAACATAAAGAAGCTTTCCGATGACCTTTTATGATTCAGGGAAAAGAGTGACACATATATTCAGTACTTCTGATATGTCAGACCTTATGTATTTTTCTGGTCAACTTCCAACCACCCATCAAAATCCATTATATAAAACTCTACAACAACTATGAAAAGTAGGCATCCTCGCTTACAAATGAGGAAAATGAGGCTTAGAGAAGTTAAGTATTTTCCTCAAAGTAACACAACTGTTAAATTAAGGAGCTAGATCTTTCTCACTGCAAAGCCAGCCATGCTGTTTCTGACTGTAAGAGGTTGAAAATGCTTGGAATACCAGATGCACAGGCAGACTTACCCAGATGGAGTGGGACGGGCTGCAGAGGTACCTACTATGAGAGAGAATTTTTCTGTAATGAAAATTTCCACCTTGGGAAATGACGAGGTAGGATCAGAGGATCACTGAACTCTAGACCCATATGTCAATTTACCCTGTGGTTAGTCTATAACACTTTAGTTCAACTTGTCCCAAACAGAAATCATTAGCTTCCTTTCTACTCCCTACTCTAGGTACTTTTCTACCTAATTACCCAAACTCAACACCTTTCTCTCTCCCTCCCCCGCAAGGAAACATCAAATAGTGTTGATTTTCTCTTTGAGGTAACCCTCAAATTCATCCCTTCTTTCTCACTGCCTCTGCCTTAATTTAACTCTATCATTTGTCATCTGGACTGTTAGCAACAGGCTTGTAATTGATGGTCTCCTTGCCTCAGCCTTCCCTTCTAATTCATTTCTACCTTCCTTTCTTCCAGAAATGTTTTTGTAAAATGTCATTCTGACCATGTAGCCCTCAATGCTGTCAAAGGCTCCTCATTTCCTGCAGAATAAAAACTAAGCTGTTTAGCAGTGGAATATCATTTTGTGCTTGAGGGGCTTTGCCCACACTTGTCCTTTTGCTTAGAGTGCTCCTTACCTCCACCTTTATTTTTCTGGTCAACTTCTAACCACCCATCAAAATCCATTTGCCATATCCCTTTGACCTAAAGATAATCACTTCTTTTTCTTTGCTATCTTTCCATCTTACACATACCCCTGTGATGCACAAAATACACTGGTAACTCGTCTAAGTATTTTCCACTTTCACTAGCTGTGAACCTCTAGAAAGCAGGGCTTTGTAGTACACGGCTTTGTATCAACTCTTTGATCCTGTCGCACTGCACGTGGCATGGGACACACTCAACAGATGTAAGATGATGAAATGAATTCTTTCAGGTTCTAAGATTAGAATTCCCCATGCTTGCTTTCCAGAATTGTACAGCAGATGGCACTAATAAGCCACTTAACAGATTCCCTTCAACTAGGTATGATTTTTATCCCAACCTTGTCTGACTTTGGCCTCATCCTAGATGCCAATTTCATTTCATTGCAGGTGAAATCTGTTTCCTCCCTCAGCCAAATAGCAAAGATAGCAAGATGACTCAGCAGCTTGGTCTCTCTGAGAAAAGAAAGTGGCAGATGTCCAGGAGAAGGTGCAGTTGAAGGAACATTTTCTTTGTCTCAATTTAGTCATGGCAGGTGGGGGCTTTGTTCTTTCTTGCTTTCTTTTTCTCTTTTTTTGCTGTCGTTACAAGAGAGAGCTTTATTCGTGGACGGATGGCTCATTTCTGTCCACTCCTTTGAAAGGGAAGGAGGAAATTAGAGAATTAGAGAAAAGGCCATTATGTGGTGGGAAGTAAGGGAAAGCTGAGTGATCACAGAGTTGCTTATGGGCCAGCATAGTTGGTCCTCCTCACAGAGGGATGGCCTGGTCAAGTTTTCTGGACACCAGCGCCTTAAGTTAGGTACTTGTGTGCTTGTCCAAGGCTAGCACCAAGGGTGTTTCCAACACTCAGTACTTGGGAACCCACAGGGTGTGGTTTTAGGTTCCTACTTCCCAGGAAAAAACAGAGGAGGCATAGAAACCCTTATCAGAGAGGCAAAGTTTAGGAGACTCAGGTTATACTTTACTCCTTCAAGGTTGTCTGGCCACCAGGCCCTTCATCTACACACCCCTCCAACTAAAACCTGTGGAAAGGATTCTAGCCAGACATCTTTAAAATTCTCCCTATCGGTATTGATCAAAGACTGGGAAATTTGGGGCTGGAAGTAATTTTATAAATCATTTACGTGTCCTCTCTCGGGTCCATTTGTGCCCCAAGCCCTGCTCTTTCATGGTAAGGACTGTATAAGGGAAAAGAATATAAGCATTGGAGCTAGGCTTACTTAGATTCAAATCCCACTGTTCACAGATCAATTATGCCTTTGGGCAATTATTTTAAACTTTTTGAATCTCAGTTCCCTCATCATAAAATGAAAATAATAATGTTTATCAGGAAGAGTTTTCTGGAGCATTAAAAAAGATACATGTAGTCCTGGCTGGTGGCTAAGTTCATTGGAGCATCATCTAGTACATGAAAATGTGGGTTTGACCTCCAGTCAGGGCACATACCTATGTTGTGGTTTGATCCCTGGTTGGGGGACGTGTGGGAGGGAACCAATCCATATTTCTCTCTCATAATCATGTTTTTTTCTCTCCTTTCCTCTTCCTCTAAAATCAATAAACATATCCTTTGGTGAGGATTTAAGGAGAAAAAAAAAATACATGTAAAGAACCGGGCACAGTGCAGTGTAGCTGGCACAGTGTAGATGCTTAATTGATAAGATGGTGGCATGAAACATTTCTGCTAAAGGGATTTCAAACTATGAAATACAAGTTGGGGGAGGATTTGGAGAGCTCCTTCTGTATCTAAACATATATTTAAAGGCTTTGAGATTGAGCTATGCTTGTAATAGCACTCTGATTAATTTGATGAAAATACCTAAACACAACACATCAGTATAACCATTTATCTGTGAATTATTTTTTGGCACCTAAATCCTGAACCTTCTAGGCTGTGGAGGAGTTGTGTATATATAGAGGAAGCTAAGAGCACTTTTCCTTAGGTTCTGAAACCTGATGACATTGAGGGTCTTTGTTGTTGTTGTTTAGGTTTTTTTAACCACCTAAGGCACTTTGCCACTTTCCTGAAGTGTGAATTATTTGCTGTCAACCTGGCATTCTCACCTCCGTGATCCTGGCTGCAGGCATATTTGCATGTTGTATGCTGTGTTCTTTAACCTCCTGAGGTTTGAAATCATTTGGAGTCGCGCGCGTGCGTGCGTGCATGAGAGAGAGAGAGAGAGAGAGACAGACAGACAGACAGACAGAGAGACAGAGAGACAGAGAGACAGAGACAGAGACAGAGAGAGATACTTTCAAATCCCAGGACAGTTTCAGCTCTGTGTGCTCCCAAAAAAACAGAAAACCTCCAACAATAGCTCCATTGACTTTTATGTAAACGACACTCTTTAGAAAAACACTGGGCTATTTCCCAAATTCCCAGAACATACCCTGAGCATTTGTTCGAGTGAGGGGTGGGGAGAGAGTTTTGTTGAGTCAATGAACATCTGTTGAGGGCTGCTGTGCTGAATCCCAAGGAGACAGAGCTCATGGTTTGGTTCTTCCCTGCCAGAGCTACAGAGATTTACCATAGTAGGTATGCATGCTTGTGGTGGTTTTGTACTGTGTCCACTTAGCTAAGGTTTCCCAGGATTCCCTTCCTGTATTCAAGATTTGGAAAGCTGAAGTGAAGTAGCTGCCATTACACTGGGAACGACAGAGCGGGATACGAGACATGGTGGCAGTGCATACCTTTTGATACTGATCTGCTGGCTCACATTGTTGATGTATGACAGCACCGTGGCCTGTAGCTCCCCAACTCCACTGAATCTTCCCCTTCAGTGACTTTGAGTCCTGGGCCAGGTGTACATTCAATTCTGTGGCCAAGAGCTCCAGCTTCTACAAGTCACCTACGTCAATGAGCTTGCAGACAATGAAAGGAAATTACAAGTTTCAGTTGGTCCTCATGAGTTCCAGTTGTCCTTGTGGGTCCTGATTTGTTCTCACAGGTTCCAGTTTTCCCTGCTCTCCTCCATGGACAGGTTTCCTTCCCAACTGCTGGCCTTGCTGATCTCTAGAGACCTCAGGCCCAGCCCCAGATGCAGAGGCAACAGAGTTGCATGGATTTCTCCCTCAACTTTCAAAATTGCACAAGGTCTAATTCCTATACTAAAGCCTTGATTTTCTGTTGCTCATAGTATTTGGCTTCTCCCATCAAACCCTATAATAAAAATTTTTTCAAGCCAGGTGAAAGGCCTGGAAGATGGGGTGATTAGAAGCCAGAAGTCTTCAGAACAGAAGGGATGACATCTGAACTTCTGAAAGGATGAGCAGGAGGTTATGTGTATGGAGAAGGAAGGAGCAATTCTAGGAAACCGCTAGCTCAAGCCAAGCATTGAAAAGACAAATAGCTCTGCCTTTCTAGATTTGTCCTGTCCATGGGTCAAGAACATAGGTAGAGAGAGAACCTTTAATCCTACCTCTTGATCCTAGGTCTTCTGGTCTCATTGAGATGAACTGTCAGTCTGGTTCTTAGATGTTGTTACTCCTGCAATAATGATATCAACTGAAGATACATTTTTGCTAGGGTATACCCTTCATTCCACTAAGGTCCCCTCCCCATAGGAAAATGTTGACCCGCTCTCCTCTCCACTTTGGCTCCTTATGGCCACCTCAGGCTTTCTTGGCTCAGGCTTTCTTTCTTGGCTCCCCCATTTTTGTTTCCCCCATACTATGCTGGTGATGGCAGTGGTGTGGAAGAATGCTCTGGAACTTCCTGTCCTAGGCAAGGGCACTGTGCCGTGTAGTCTTGGATTCCAAAGCTAATCTAGGGGTTCTAACATTTATTCTGTGGGATCCACCTGAGGCAGGGGTAAGGTGCCCTATGCTTACAACTTGCTAATACTTTCTGAGCTCTTGATGGGGCCTACAAGGGACGGGGAAATAGGGTCAGACACCTGGTTCTGACTATACCTGGAATCAGTAATATGAAACCTTCATTTCTGGCTTCCAGAATGGGGAAAGTTCTCAGCATAAATAGGGAGACCAGGGAAACAAAACACAGTGTTTAATAAAGCCTGCTACCAGTTTAAATACGAATTTTTAAACTCACTATCACATTATACGTACTATTCTAAACCACACATTTTTTTCTTAGTGTGTCTGAAAATCTTTTTACAAGCAGCATATTTGGCTCTACCTCATTTTTTTATGGCTCCATAATTTTCCTTTTCTTTCAAACTGTAAGGGACAGTTTATTTAGAAAGTTACAGAGGTAGTAGCAGGCCCTTGGAATTTAGGAGAAAGAGGTAGAAAGTGATACAAGCCTCGAGGGGACGAAAGAAGGAAAGGCATGGGTGTGCTCTGGAAAAGATAGAGCATGCTCATAATTTTCCTATCATATAGACACACTGTACTTTAATTATTCCCATATCAATGGATATTTGTTTTGCCTTTTTTTTTTTGATATCACAAACAGCTGTAATGAACGTCCGTGTGTGTGCATCTTAATACATACAGAGTCCAGCACAAATAACACCTCTTTTTTATTACAAAATCATAAGTATGTAATTCTGTAACAAAACAGTATCACACTGAAGCACACCGTATGACATTTTAGGTGAAATGTTCACATTAAAACTATAAATTATCACACTCATATTATTACCCTACCAACCACACTCAAGCAGGCCTTACTTCTGCCAGACCCTGTGTTTGTGTAGATCAGAGTACCTAGAAATGGAATTACTGAATCTAAGGCATATGCTATGATTTTGTAAATTTTTTTATTGATTTTGGAGAGAGAGAAGACGGGGGAGAGAGAGACAGATTGATTTTTGTTGTTCCACTTATTTATACATTCATTGGTTGATTATTTTTTGTGTCCTGACCGGGAATCAAACCCACAACCTTGGCGTGTGAGGACAAAGCTCTACAAACTGAGCTACTCTGGCCAGGGCTATTTTGAATTTTTTTTTTTTTTAATTTATTGATTTGAGGGAGAGAGAGAGAAAGGGAGAGGAGAGAAGCATTCATTGGTTGATTCTTATATGTGCCCTTATGGGAGATCAAATCCACAACCTTGCATATCAAGATGATGCTCCAACCAACTGAGCAACCTGGCCAGGGAAAGAGAATATAGTATGTTTTGATATTCATAGCCAAATTGCCCTCTTATAGGGATATGCTAATTTACACTCTCCAACAATACATGATAGCATAGGCCATTTCAGAAACCCCTTTTGAGATTATTTCTAATCCTTAAAAATTCTCATTACAGGTTTAGAAAAGTTTGGAAAGGTCACAGTGTTGGATGTGTTTGGTTTTCTGGTTAGGAACCGTTATTCCTCAGAGTAACGTTATCATCTGTCAGCAATCCTGAGAATTGCCCTGGAACAAGTTACCTTAATAGATGCAAGCTTTTTTTTAAAAAAAAAAATATTTTATTTATTTATTTTTTTAGAGAGAAGGGGAGGGAAGAGAAAGAGAGGGAGAGAAACATTGATGTGAGAGAGAAACATCATTCGGTTGCCTTTTATACAGGCCCAACTGCAACCACGGACCAAACCCACAACCCAGGCATGTGCCCTGACCAGGAATAGAATCAGTGACCTTTCCCTTTAGGGGAAAACGTCCAACCAACTGATCCATATGGGTCAGGGTGATGCAAGCTCATCTTGATTTAGCACCATCGGGGTCCGTAGAGGCTATCAGCTCCTTCCCCAGCCACCCTCTCTACAATTAGTTCTGCTGTGTGAATACCAGCTCTTTCTTTGGCCCTGGAATCTTGCAGATGAGGCCCTGCTGATGCAGGCCTTTTCCTACATGGACCACTCTCCCAGGCTTCGCTGCATTTGAGACACTTTGCTTTCTTTCAGTTCTGCCATCCCATGCTGTTCCTTCCACCTGGAGCATGCCTCTCTTCTCTGTCCCTTTGCCAACTTACCTTTTACTCATTTGTTCTCTGCTGAAACCTCCCTTCTTCCAAGAACCCTTCCTTGATCCCTTAGACAAAGTCAAGTTGCCCATCATACATTTTTCCTTTGTAGCACATACCTTATTGGCAATTATTTTTTAATTTACTTTATTACTTGATTAAAGCCTGCCTCTTACACTAGACTATAAACTGCATTAGGGCAAAGGCCTAGAACAGTGCTTTGTACATAGTAGTTTCTCAATAAATATTTATTGAATGAACAAATGACACAAATATTTCTTTTAGTAAGACCTTACATGAAACATTTTCCATATTTTTGTTACCTTGATTACATGTCCCCCTTCAAATGATAAATTTTTTTTCACTTCTGCAGATTTGTCTACTCTTCTTTCTTCCTCTTTTGTTGTTGTTGTTGATATATTTTTGTGAAGTGGAAGAAAGACTACATGAAATGGAAAAGACTAAAAAAGTTTAGTCTTTATTATATGGCTGATTATAAAATTAGTAAATGTTCTCTGTAAGTCTCCAAACAATACAGAAATAAGTGGAACAGAAGATGAAAGTCTCCGTATAATCTCATCGTCCAGAAAATACTATTAATGATGTGTATCTTTCTAGACATTTCTTTTATGCATATTGAAATTTACTTACATACCAAGCACTTTTCTAAAGCACTTTATGAAAGTTAAGTCATGTAATCCTCACAGCAACCCTTTGAGGTAGAACTATTATTATCCTGTCTTATAGATGAGGAAACCGAGGCTTATGAGGTAATTACACAGTGAATAAGTAACAGAGCCAGAAATTGGACCCAGACTCCAGGTTCACTCTTGACCACTATGCTAGTTTGCCTCTGATGGAGTGGGAAGGAGACTTACTACTATGTGTGCCCTTTTGAACTTTGAATTTTGAACCACATGAGTTGAAAATTCCAAAACATGGATAAAAGCCTCAAAAAATCAATAACAAAAAAGTGTACACCAAGCTACCTTTCCTAAGTGACTGTCTCTGAGCCATTAGATACCACATTGTTGAGATCTCTTTGCTCCAGAGACTTAGATAAAGGCCTAACACACACATCAGCCGTGTGTTTTGGCAGGGAGACCTGGAGGAGCTGAGATAGAGCCACACTAACAGGGTGGGGCCAGGGTCTTGCAGTTACAAAGGCCTGTCCCTGATTCCTGCTTTTCCCCCAATGGCTGTTGGCATGCTGCCTTTTTCTGTAGGTGAGGAGGTCACTGTTAGCTGGTCTTGTGCTGATCCCTAGCAGCAGAGGGCCACCCTCCCACCCCCCGCCAGCCACCAGAGTGGATCTTCATGCTTTGTGTAACTTACCAGTGTTTCCCATCTTCTTTAGTCCTCAAACAGACCATGGCCCTGAAAGCATGTGGCTTGATCATCTTCCGAAGATGCCCTGTACCCAAGGTGGACAACACTGCAATTGAGTTTCTACTGCTGCAGGCATCAGATGGCATTCATCACTGGACCCCTCCTAAAGGTATGAGGAGCCAGAGGGACTGGCTCTTGGGGAAGTACCAGATATTACTCAGAAATCCACCCTGCCAGGGCCCCTACAAGTCATGCTTCCCAGCGACTGTGCAGCAGGAGAGGGTAAGCTTAGGGTAGAAACCCCTGATGCTTGCTACATACAAGGTCTTTGTGCTAGGCCAGAGCAGAGCTGGAAATAGAACTCTGACTGAATCCTAGGACAGAAGCAGCACCTGGGGGTTTTTTGTGTGTGTATCATTCACCACAGCACCAGCCTCTGTGATGAATGGCTGGGAAGGAGGAAAGGCACTAGGCTGGGCATCAACGTCCTTGGGGTCAAGTCATTACCGGGCTACAGGTGAGGAGCTCAGAGTGAACAACTCCCAGATGGGAGAGAGCAGGGTCAGGGAGTAGGGTGGGAGGTGTAGGTGAGCAAGGATCCAGGGCTAGAGGAAAACAAGGAAATGGGAACAGGAAATAAAACTTTCACATTTGAGTTTCACTAGGGAAAAACAAGGTTAAAAAAAGGGACAAAAGTGTCACAAATACTATGAATAGGAATAGTCACACTTGTCTCCTGATCACCTAAGTTACACTGAAAGATTTCAAAGGGCCTCTCCCAATTTTTTCCTGCTCGGACCTGGAGGGAGAAGTTACACTGTTAACACTGATGGGCAGAATGCTGAATAGCTGATATTGGGAAGATGTGCTTAGAGACTCCCACACACTTCTGAGGGAAGGTAAGACATTCTGGATCAGAGTCATTTCTGTCACCAATCAGGATCCCCCTCACCTTCATCCCTGGATGCAATTACCTACCTCTCCTTGTGTACATGGCTCGATATGAGATGCCATACAGAGAAAATTCTCCAGAAGTCTTGAACTAGAACGGTGTTTTAAGTACAAACTGCTGGTGGCTTTCTGTCAGAGCTGTGCAGAAGCAGCTGACTTAGAGCAGTACTGTGAGGACCCCTAGGAAGGAAGATGGCTAGCATTTAGCCCGATGTCCAAACCAAGAAGGGAATAGCTAAGAATTCCTGCTCCGCATGAGCTCCTGAACCAGGAGGCCCCCAGCAACTTGCTGGAGCCATGTGTTGACAGAGGCTGCCAGACCCCTCCCCATTCTTCTTGGCTCCTCTGGGCAAACTGAGAATTTGCAGGGAGGGCCTAGAGGCAGAGCTGAGGGCTGTTCCCAGTCTGCAGAGCTTCAAGTTCTCCTACAACAGTTTCTTGGCAGCTGTCTGCTTGGGTTTGGGTCTTGCCAACAAATTTTCTTAGAACTGTTTCTCAGCTTGTCCTTAGTCTAAGTTCCCATCAGGACTTTCCCTATGAAACTAGAATCTGGTCTTGCTCAGTTATAAAGATGAAAACAATTTGGAAAAGCCTTGATAGCTACTTGGAAACAGCTGCTGGTGCCGCAGTGCATGGTTTTGAGCTTGTCTATTGGCCTTGGGACTTTAGAGACCAAATGCAGACAGTGTTAACTCCTCACTGTGGATTGTAGGCAAAGTGCTCCCTCTTCAGCCAGCTCCCATTTGCCAAAAAGGGACTGCCTCTTGGGCAAGCCACTTTAGGGTCTCCAAGAGAAAGTTCTCCCTGAGATTATGGGATGGGGAGAGCTCCAAAGACTAAGAAAGCACAGATCTAAGGGAGACCATCTCTCTCACCATCAAAGGAGCAGTATTCTAGACCAGACTTGCCAAACACATGGTCTGTTTTACTCTCTGGAGAGAGGATGGGGTGGGGAGGAGGGGTTTCCCAGACACTGCAGAGCCAGACCCTAACTGTCCTGTACCCCACTCCTAAGAGTTAGGGTGCCAATCTGTAGGCTCCCTTTAGCCTAGCAACAGCCATAAAAGTCACCAAAGATCCCACTTTTAAATCATTTAACCTGGAAAATTCAGCTTTTCTGAAGATTATTTCCTACTCTCTTTCTCTTTTCTCCTAACCAGGCCATGTGGAAGCAGGAGAAAATGAATTGGAAACAGCCCTGCGAGAGACTCAAGAGGAAGCAGGTCTCAAAGCAAGCCAGCTAACCATCATTGAGGGGTTCAGAAAGGAGCTCAATTATGTGGCCAGGAAGAAGCCCAAAACAGTCATCTACTGGCTGGCAGAGGTGAAGGACTGCGATGTGGAGATCCGCCTCTCCCATGAGCACCAAGCTTACCGCTGGCTGGGGCTGGACGAGGCCTGCCAGTTGGCTGAATTCAAGGAAATGAAGGCAGCGCTCCAAGAAGGACACCAGTTTCTCTGTTCCACAGTGGCCCAAGCTAACTGAAACAGAGTCATTCTCCTCAGGATCCCTGAGGGCTTTCTGAGATGAACCCACCTTCAGCTCTGAGGAAGATTGTGCTGGTCTTTGGCTCATCATGGAAAAGAGCACATAAGTTAGTAAAAGCAGCTGAGGACTCTCAGAGCAAAGCAAGCAGTAATCTTACTTGGGTGGAAAGGCAGGCAAAGTAGGAGTTTAAAAATAAAAAAAAAAAAGAAGTACATCCTTGTACTTAATAAACGTCAAGCAGCTTATCTGTCCTTTTAACCTGTTATATTTATTTCTTGGACTCTCGCTCTTGGTGGGAGAACACTGAAGTGAATCAATCAGAACTCTGACCTTAGCCAGAGGGAATCTTGTGTCCAAGCTCTCTACCCCAAAGAAGCTAAGGGAGGGAGTCAGAATAAATGGGACCCAACACTGCCAGGGAGCTCTCCTGCCTCTGTAACTCCAAGCATTCTCACCCCAGCCCCACTGAGCCTTTTCTACCTGTAGTCAGAATATGCAAGTGAGTGGAACTGGAGCACAGGAATGGGGTCTGGTCTGCTTGCTCATGTGTATCTCCCAGCAGTAGGAACATGTTGGTAAGTGCTCAGTAAATTTTTTCTAAGATAATTAAAGCCCCGAAGAACTTTGGGACAACCCAGATCACAGGAGGGAGAAGAGGTATAGGCCACCTTGGGCCACCAGGCTAGTGACACATGTACTCCAACCTCTTGGCTCAGTCCTGCCTCCCGGAGTCAGCATGGGCCTTGTCAGCATGATTGAGGTTACTGGCAAGAGGCACACCAAGTCCCGAGAGGCTCTGCTGTGCCACCCGACAGCCCTGTCACCACACGTGTGCGCTCCTTGCCTGCAGCTGCCTTCTCCACCTTTAGCAATCCTTCATCATTGGTTTTTCTCTCTCCCCACCTACTCCCTTTCTCTACAACTCAACTGTAAGACTCAGAGGCGCAAGAGTTGGGTCTCAGCCCTCTCTTCCCTTGCTACTAGGGCTCAAGGAATTCAGGGCAGGTGTTAGATCCTATAGTCCTTCCAGGAGCTGTTAGCAGCTGGATTCATGTGGATTTTATTAGAGGATTGTTGCCCAATGAAGTGCAGAATATTGGTTGGGAAGGGTCATTGGTAAAGGTCAACCCAGATTACCAGGGTCAAGAACTGCCACCCCTAGAGGAAGGAGAGAGAAGTGGTCCAGATCTTAAGCAGGCTTCCAGATGTTTTCAGTCACTGGTTCTCCGTGCAGACAGGGCAAAAGTACTAGTGAACAGGATCTTGGAGCACTGCCAGGGGCCTGAATGGTTTTTGTTCCTCACCCCTCTGAGCAGCACTCAGAAGGAGGCCTGCTGCAGGAAGTTTTTGGAGCTTAATGTTCTCTTTCTAGGCCAGCAGGGACCACATCCCATTGATTTAATGAATGCCTGCTGGGCAGTGGTGCCAAACCACAGACAAGCTGCCTCCTAACAAGGGCTGGCCAGCCCTATGCTCTCAGCATGGGAGGCTGTGGAATCTCAAAATGCTACGACCTCTTATGTCAGAGTTGGAAGGGCCCTGGAAAATGACCCTATTTTGCTGCTCGTTTTTATAGTTGGGAAACCTGAGGCTTAAGGAGGCAGATGGCTTTGGCTGTTGCCTATATGTGGGACTCTTTGAGATTGGGTGCCAGAGGAAAGACTGCTTCAGGATATCTTGTACAGTTTTCTTGTATGCAGAATATCTTGTATAGGGGTCATTCCTCTGGGCTTCACAGAGTTTTCCATTAAAACAGGTACTTTGGAGAGGGCGTCGATCATAAATTATACTTAGTTGCTTGATTTACAGGAAGAATTGACAGCAGGGTGGGACTGGGGCATGCTATAGGGGGTGGGTAAGGGTGGGAGAGAGGGAGACCAAAATTGGGATGTGGCAGTGGAGTAGGCATTGTCATCATCACTACTTTGTTTCTAGCCCTCTGGGCTTGGTCAAGAACTGTGGGGCTGAGGCCACAATTTTTCCTTCATTTGAGGCCTTCCAAGCTCCAGAGCATCTTCTTCTGGAAGCTTTCCCTAATAACCACCCGTGCTATTAATACCATCCCATTCCTCCACCCTCACCCAAAGAGTCTCCTCCTGGAATTCTACCTGTTCTTTTCACTGCCACCTCCACCACCCCAGGATGAAAAAGCCCCACCAGGGTGGTCTTAAGTTGCCCCCTCTTAGGGAAATTTAACAGAGGCTCTGGAAAACCAAATGCCCTCTTGATTCCCAAAAGTAATACCTTACCCCCCAATAGCAGGCTTCTTTCCTGAATTGAAGACTCAAATGAATAAAGTTGTAATGGTAGTTTTTAATTATAAGGAATTTTACTGATTGATTGATTGATTTTAGAGAGAGGAAGGGAATAATGAAAGAGATATCAATTTGTTGTTCCACTTATTTATGCAGTCATTTGTTGCTTCTTTTATGTGCCCTGACCAGAGAGCAAACCCACAACCCTGAAGTAACGGGATGACACCCTAACCAACTGAGCTACCTAGCCAGGGCCTAATGGTAGTTGTTTTTTTTAAAAAAATATATATAATCTTTACTATATTTTTTCCATTACCATTTATTCCCCTTATACCCCCCACCCCTAGAGTCACTACCCTGTTGTCCATGTCCATGAGTCCTTTTTCTTTTTTTCTCAATCACCTCATAACCTCCCCTCCCCCGCCACTAATATAATGGTAGTTTTAATGGTAGCATTTCAGTTGAAATGCTTGTATGGGTATGGGACCCCAGCTGCGTTCTCTGTGTTTGGGAAGTAGATGCTGATTCCTCTATGGATCTAGCCTGTGGCCCAACCTGCCTTTTGCAGAGGCGGGCCACACCAGCAAGGTTGTTGCCACCTTGACACTATGCCCTAGGTGCCCAGAGAGACCTGTTCTCCCCTTCTCCCAACCTGCCCCACCTTCGCTTCCCTTCCCCTCCCACTCCTCCTGCTCAGGATTGTGTAGTAGGAAGTTCCCAGCTGGGCTCTCTGAGGAGGGGAAAGGTGGCTAGTGAGATAAAAACAGCACAAAGATACAAAATACAGAGGCACAACCTCTTCCTGTTCTTCAGACTGGGAACTCCCAGAGACAGGGCCTCCTCCTCTTCCTTTTCATTTCTCCCCCAACTTCACCCCCCAGCCAAACTCAGGGCTTGCCACAAAATGCCAATAATTCTCCCCTCCCTTAATGGGTAAAGGGGGTTAAAAGGTCCAAACTTCCAGTTATAAAATAAGACATAGGGATGTAATGTACAGCATAGAGGCTATAGTTAGTACTGTGTTGCATATCTGAAAGTAGCTTGAATGTTCTCATTACAAGAAAAAATGTTTTTTTGTAACTATGAATGGTGACAAATGTTAATTGGACTTATTGTGGTAATGTAACATACACAAATATTGAATCATTATGTTTTATACCTGAAATTAATACAGTGCTATGTCAATCATAGCTCAATTTAAAAAACAGAGGAAGTCAGCCTGTTTTCCCCTATATTCTATTAAAATAGTGAAGTACATTGGGAAAAAAAAAAATTCTCCCCTCTGCTCAAGCTTCTGGAAAGATTCTTGGGCATAATGAAGTAAATGACTAGCCTTAAGATAAAAACCAGGTTGTTCCTTGGGGGCTGGGCTGTGCCAGAGAGGGGAGGGTGTCAGCAGAAGTCCCATGGAGTCAGACAATGTCAAGGAAATCACCCAGTTGCCACTGTGGTTTTCTTCAAGCTTGGGTCTAGGCAGGCTGCCCCTTGCCGCGATGGGCTGTGCAGCTATTCCCAGACCAGAAGGTAGTATTTCTTCTAATGTTTTTCAAAATGTATATGTGCACACAAAACAGAAACAGACGTGGGAGGAGGATTCAGATCTTAGAGGCCTTGAACGCCAGTTTGATTTTTTTTCCTAAATGAAATAATTAAATTTCAAAAAGATTTCCTTGCTGACAGTCAACAGAGGGGAGAGGGGAGGGGGGTATAGGAGAAAGAAGGGGAAGGGTCAAGTCAAAGAACAAGTATAAAGGACCCATGGATAAGGACAATAGGGGGGAGGATTAAATGTGGGAGGTGGGGGGTGGGCAGGGCAAGGGAGAGTAATGGGGTGAGGAATGGAAGAACTGTAACTGAACAACAATAAAAAAACAGATTTCTTTGGATGCTATGTGGATTGGATGAAAACATCAAAAAGCAGAAACAGTTCCAGACTAGAATCGATAAGGTCTGACATGGAGTAGTGACCTAAAGCAGGAGATGGAGGGGTCAACACCAGCCTTGGGCCTGAGATGGGGAGAAGCGACCAAATAGCTCAGTGGGGGGAGCCAACAGGAGAACACTTGCTCTGGAGCCAGCCGAGCTGAGGGATACTTTACCCAAATCTAGGGAAACAGGGGCAAAGACCCTTCCAGAAAATTCACAGCTTGGCCTTAGAGAAAGGGCTTGGCCAGGGTTCAGCTGATTCATGTGGAACTGGACGGGAAGCTGAGGCAGATGCTCAGGGTGCACAGGGTCACAAAATGAGGACATTAGGCCCCAGTCCTAGATTTCCTGCAGTGGCCATTCAGTCCCTCCCCATTACCTCTGGAGAAGGAGGTTCCCATTCTTTCATATTAACATTCCTCCGAACTAGCCCAGGCCCAATGAGGAATTCTGGCCATTACAAAGCTCCTGAAATCTCCATGGTGGAGAGGCAGCCCCCACCCCAATCCAGATGTTCAGAGAGAAAGAGATAAATTTGGAATGCACAAGACATGTTGGCAGGGATGGGGGATTGGACAAGGCTAGAGGGGGCATCCTGGGAACTAGAGGTAGAGGTAGCTTCCAGCCTAGTTCCCTCCCCTCCTCTTGTTTCCAAGACTCGGCTCTTTCTCACAGTTCCCGCCATTCCAGCTCCTATCCCCACCTCAACTACTTGAACCTCTCTTTTTTTTGGTGTCAGTGAAGGATGGGAAAATACTTTTTGGTCTAGAATCAGGTTTACTGTGTGGTAGCTTCAGAGACACACATTTCAGCTGGTTCCCCATCCTTGGGGGAATACAGGCCAGGGCAGAGCCATGCTGTTGGTAGGTGGGTGAATGCTAGATGGGATATTCTAGGCACTAGAATACGAGAACACCAGGTTCCAGTCAATGCTGGTTACTAATCTCCTGTATGACTTCAGGCCAATGCCCTCCTCTCTCAGTGCTTCCTCTCATTGCACAGTTTGGTCATCTGTGGTTTTGTGAATAACCAGGCTGATGGCAGAGGCCAGACTAGAAAGCAGATCACAAACCAAAGGCCAGTTTACTAGAATTTGGCCAGACAAGGACACTCTTCCCTTTGGCCCTGCCCCCATACACAGGGAATGTTCTGAGGGCATAGTGTGCCCCTCCCCCATTAGGCTGTGCTGCTGCCTGCCCTCAGTGCCCTTCTAAAGGGTACTCTTCCTCCTCCCTTCCAGATTACTTTATCCCTCCCTATGTCATCTCAGCACACACTGGTTCTGGACTTTCTCTTAGAACTTTCTGCAACTATGGAAATGTTCTATAATCTAACTGTCCAATATGTGAGCCACTAGTCACACATGGCTTTCGAACACTGGACATATGGCTAGTATGTTCAAAGAACTGGGTTTTTAATTTTGTTTACTTTCAGACGAGATCGGGCGCATTCAGGGAGGTATGGCCGTAGACTGTTTACTTTCAATTAATTTTAAAATTAAATTTGAGAATCTACATGTGGCTAGTGGCTACCAGGTTGGACAGGACAGGTTCTAGGTAGCACTTTTCTTTGTTTTTGTTTTTGTTTTTTTAATAAGAGTTGATAGGAGCTACCATTCACTGAGCATTTACTCTTTGCCAATTTTTGCATAAGTGCTTTACAGACACATCTTAATGAATCCTAGACATTCCATTTTAAAGATGAAGAAACCAAGGCTTGGGCGGTTGGGTAAACTGGCTTCGGGTTGCATAGAAAGCTGGAGGGCCATTCAAGCCATAGTCATGCTCCAGACAGTTTGAGAACTTTCCAGGACCCAGTCTGAGTCTATAGTCGCTCCTTAGCACATGGCTGGGCACCAGGGCCCAGGGAGGCTATCGTTGAATATAATTTGATATACGTTCTTGACAAAATGGAGAGGGAAGCTAATTCCACTTACTTCCAATCTCCTGGGCACCCTGGAATCTTGTCTCCCAACATCCCACCTTCAGATATCTCTTCTCTTGCCTTTCTCCTGGATCACAGCATCCATTTGATTACAAACTTAGACTTCAGTGGGTGCTATATGCAGAGGTTGGGAAAGAGGATGTCACATGCAGGCCCATAGGAAGCCAGTGAGACTGGCAGCTGAAGCCTAGAAAAATCCTTGTTTTTAAGCAAGAAAACAAGAAATAGTATGTATTATGATAGCAACCTTTTATTAAGCACCTACTTGTGCCAGGCACTTTACATACATCCATACTTATAATTCCCACAACAGCCTGGGAGGTAGGCATTATTATCATCATTTTGTATAAGAGGAAACTGAGGCTCAGGGAAGTTAAACAGCTCGCTCAAGGTCACAAAGCTTATTGATGACTGGTAGAATCAGCACTGGAAATGGGCACCTGTGAGTACCTTTAAACTTTCATTAGACATTCATTACACTGAGAAAATAGAGGGGGTAGAGGGGTGGGCAAAGGGATGCATTCTCTAGGGGCTGAGGAACTGGTTCTGCTGTCCAAGCTGTAGAAGGCTGAGCCCTGCTATGTTTCTGACCTCTTTGCTCTGGCAAGACACTTCTCCAGATTCAACTGCAAAGTCAGAAAAAAAACTTGCCCTGGCTGAGATTGTTCATAGAAGGGGAACATAGCTGAGATGAAAGACCTTACCCTGTATGTGTATTTGCATGTGGAGATGTACACGGGTAGTTTGTGTGCTAAAGCACACCACCACCAGAATAAGAATCTCTCTTCCTTTCAGGCCACAACCCTGCCACGTGTGCAGGGACTGAGGCAGCTGGGGAATCTTGAAGGACTATTTATTTCCTACCAAAACCCCAGGGACAAGTCAACAATCAAAGCCTCAAATTTGCTCCCTGCCTTTTCCCTCCAGGCTTATCTAGTCTGAGGGGTATTGTGTTCACTTTGCACTTCCAGGGACACATGATGCCTCCCTCTCTGTCTCTCTGACTCTCGCTCTCTCTCTCTCTCTCTCTCACACACATACACACACACACACGTTCTTGTGTGACACACACATACGCACACGCATACACACACACAGTTCAGGCATCAAGGCACCAAGTCTAACCTGCATGTTTTTGCAAGTCTTTGCCCATCAGGTGGCGGCCCTGGCTCAGGGGGCTGAGTGCTTATGTGTACACAGATGGGTTAGTTTAGCATTAGGAGCTTCTTCACAACTGAGGGACAATGATGATGGTACTATGCTGAACCAAGTCCCCTGACTTCTGGGAGGGGACCTTCTGTTTCCTTGTCAGTTGGCCAAGTACCCCTGTCCCGTCTTGCCAGCTCAAGTGGGAGCAGGTCAGTCATAGTTCAGGCCAATGCTGGGAACTCAGGGTCTGGCTTTCAACTCCACCTTCTTCAAAGTGTGGCCGGGGGCTATATTGGGACCTTAAAGAGGATCAAGTGCCCACTTCAGAAGGACGAGATGGCCATTCAGTCCAGGATAAAGAGTGAGGTGTATTTGTTTGTTTGTTTGTGCTTTTAAAACCGAACCATGCGTAACAGGAACTGACTCTTTTTCCTCTGAGCTCACTCACCCTCACCACAGGGGAAAGGTTTCTGCAGATGGAATGAGTGTGTAGGGAAGGGGGCTGTTAGGATTGTGCATAGGAGTGGGAGGTTGCTTCACTGCCCCCTCCTCTGGCCCTACAGGAGCTGGGTGGAGCACATTTATGTCAGCACCCACATAGTGGGTAGTACAGAGGTAGGGACTTCCTGGGGATACAGGTGTGGTTGTGATGGAGGGTAAAAGGCCTTCATAAAAGACTTGGGTTAGAACTGTGGGGTTCCCTGGTCCTGGGCTGGGTCAGGATGCCCAAATGAAGTAGGCTACCTCGTCCAGGTCGACAGGATAATCGGTGAGCAGCACTGGCGTTTTGTCAAAAAGCTCACCCTTATAACTGCGCCACTTGCCTGCCGGCAGGTAGACATCACGTTCCTGCTTGCCAGGCTCCAATACTGGTGCCACCAGCAGTGTGTCTCCGATAAGGAACTGCGAGTCGATGCGGTGCGCTGTCTCATCGCCTGGCGCAATCCACCAAAGCGGGCGCACAATTGGGTCCCCAGTGTCGGTGACCTCACCCGCCAGCTCAAGCAACAGCGGTGCCACAAGCGAGGCCCTAAGTGCGGCGAACTTGTGCGCGATGGCCACCACTTCAGCGTCATATTGCCAGGGTGGGACTGAGAACTGCATAGCAGGCATGAAAGCAGCCACCTCCAGCCAGCGCACGTAGAGCTCGCGCTCCGGCACATTGCCACCACCCGCTGTGCGCTCAGGCACCACATTGCCACCCACCATATCCGGCAGGATGAACGGGTAGCCAAGCATGCTGACAGTGAGCACGGCGGGGATGAGTGAGCGCAGTCCCAGATCGTAGCCCCACACCGAGTCACGGTCCACCAGGCGGAAGAAGCATGAGATATTCTGCGACTGGTAGCCCACGCGGACCTCAGCCAGTGAGAAGAAGGGAAGCGCCATCTCAGTGTAGCGCCGGCTCCATATGTTGGGGTCTGGCAGCGACCTGTAGGTGCTAAAGTCCCGTGGCAAATAGCTGACCTCACCCGCGTCGAACTTGAAGGAGGCCACCTCGTAGCGTGAGCGCAGCCGCCGCAGATGCCCCTGGAACCAGTCGCGGGCTTCAGGCCGCGTGAAGTCCAGTACGGCGCCGATGCCATTCCACCAGCGCACCAGTGCGGGCAGCCGGCCCGTGGGTTCACGCACGAACAGCTCTCGCTCCACACCCTCCCCAAAGGATGATGAATTGTAGTTGACGAATGGGTGCACCCAGAGCGTGACTTTAAATCCAGCGTCGCGCAAGTTGCGGAACATGTCACTAGCATTGGGGAACTTGACCTCGTCAAAGTCGAAGTCACCATAAGCAGGTGTGTACATGTCGTCGATTTCCAGGTGGCTGCTGTTGAAGCGGTGCTGGCGGATCTGCTGGGCAAAATGCTGCACCTTGTCCTGGTCCACTGCACGCCCGTACAGCACCCACGTGGACCAGATGGGGTCCCGGAAGGTCTCAGGTGCTGGCACCCTTGATGGCTTGTTGAAATAGCGCCGTACCATGTACTTGTGGATGGAGGTGACATCTGAGCCAACGCACACACGGTAGCTGAGCTCCGGGGCGGCGGGGAGACCAGCTGGTGGCTTGTAGGGTGTGTCATTATAACGTGCCTGCAGCCTCAGTGAGCGCTCTGTGCTGTTCCAACCCAGGTGGAAGGGCACTGAGTCATTGACCTTGATGGCAGCTGCGCGTGATGACAGCCAGTAGCGCTCCAGGATGCCCCCAAAAGCTGAGTCGGAGGAGTAGACGTCGCTGGTGACAAAGGGCTGCGGCTCCTGCTGGCCTTCCAGCCTGATGGGCCAATGCTGGGTCCTCATCTCAGCACCGCCATACCAATGTGCCCTCTCGTCTCCCAGGAACATGGCATGCTCCACTGCACGCCCCGGCGCTGCCTCCTCCCAACGCACGCGGTAGCACATGACTGTGTCTTTGGGTCGCACAGTCTGGATGAAGAAGTGTAGTGGACGCCCATCCGCGGTTCGAGAGCAGCCCAGCAGGGCACCATCGCGGCTGCAGGAGTCAAGGTCCAGCGCACCTGAGCGGAAGGCCAGGCGGAAGACCTGCTCGCCTTTCTGGTTGCGGATAGAGAAGCCGCCAAGGTTGAGGTCCAGCAGTTCCGCACGCAGACGTTCCGCCTTGCGTAGAGAGGCGCTGTAGTAACACCAGGCCACCACTGCGGCCAACACCAGCAGCAGTCCCAGCACCCCTGAGCCCAGCAGCGGCTTCAGTTCTTTTGATGGTTTGGGCTTGACAGGCGAGAAGTTGTCAGGCAGGAAGGTGTACATGGCTGTGGCTGAGACAGCTTCGGGTCTCTCAGGGCCTGTGTCGTGCCCAGGGCGTCGGCGGGGATAGGCCTTGCTCTTCTCTGGAGGATTTTGGGGCATCACCCCTCAGTTATGCAAAGAACGAGTAGTGGGGCCACCTGACAAAGTCCATCTGAATTTCGTCTGCCAAAGTCTGGAAGGCGAAGAGAGAGGTGGAACTGACCTTCTCATTCCATAGTATTTCCATTTGCTACAGCAAGAAAGAATAGGTGTGTACTTTGGGGAGGTGTATTTTGGGAATTAAGGGCTTGAGAAATGGCAAAGATGAGAATTACTGGGACAATCTGTGTCTTACCCTTTCTCAAGGGCCCCGATACTTGCCAAAATTAGGACTCTGAATGGGAAGGGGCAGATGGCATGCTCCCCACTTTTGTGGGGAAGATACAATCCCAGACAAGGTCAGGGAGCTGTTCAGATTGCAGAATGTTAGACTTCCTGGGATCAGACATGGGGACAGTTCAAGCTGAAGAGAAGGCAAAGGACCTGGAGAGGACCTGGTGTCCCAGAGGTGTGGCCATGGTGGGGGTGGGGTATGATTCAGGCAGCTCCTTGAGACCTTTAACAGGGTAGCAGGATGACTTTCCTTGACCCCAGAAGGGGAGGGGAGAGGAAGGAGGAGCAGGGAAGGCATGGAATTTAAACAGAAACCAGATTACATCTGGAAATTAGATCAGCCCTAGGGCTTGGTTTGGAAGGAGGCAGGGCTGGGTTCAGATATTAGGACTGGGGTCAGGAGCCTGGCTCAGGCGCCATGGTGGCTACTCACTCCCTGTCTTTGTCCTCAAATTCCATCCTGTTTTCAGCCATTGTTCATCAAGTCCATCTCCCTACCCACCTTCCTTCTCTGTTCCCAAAACCACATCTGTGGGCCAGCTACCACCTGGTTTTGTCTCTGCCAATCACCCACTGTCCTGCTGCCCTTGCCGTAGTTTTGGACACTGTCTTTTCTCCCTTATATTAATTCAACACTTCCCCTAGAGACCCCCCTGTGCCCACCTTCCTTCCCCCAATGTCTTCTGCTTATAGCAACCATAGTGATCCTTCTAAAGAAGTTATCAGACCACATCTCTTCCTAACTTAGAGAGCTTCTCATGACCCCCATGAAGAAGTTCAGAAGTGTAAGCTTTGCAGTTGAGGCTCAAGGCATGATGTGGTCTCATCTGCTTTTCTGATTCCATTTCTAGCCAGGCCTATAACCACTCAAGCTCATTTCTTCACCAACCTAAATCCTTCAGGCCACCTGCTTTAGGAGATTTCAAGCATCCACCTTGGGCCAACATCTCTCCCCAACCTATCAGCTCTCCAGGGATCAGACCACCCACCCCCCACATACACACACACACACACACACACCCCCACATGCTGTATGCTCAACATCCGAATATGCCTGCAGGGAAACATAGATTTGGGGAAAGTATGTGTTGCAATCTGCTGCTCAAGGCCACTGATCCTTCCTGATTTAGCCCTCAGGGCAGAGTCCAACAAAGAAATAGCCCTAGCCAGGTGCAAACACAGATATACATACCGCCAACCAGGCAGCTGCACCAGCTACAGAGAAGGAGAGAGGGAGACCAGCAAACAGTAATTAGTCTTCTCCCAGATACAGTGTCTGTTTCTAAGTCCCCCACGATTTCCTGGTAGATGCCAGAACTGTCCAGGACCTTCACCTCCCCCGCCTTTCCCATGAAGAGACTGTTTAAGAATGCAGGGTGCAGGTCAGAATTTTGATCCCAGATGTCAATATACAGCTCTCCACACTGCCCACTCCCCAAGTTGTTACCTCAGGGTCTCATTCTCTAAGCTCTCTGCCCCCCATTCCCTAAGCTGGTCAGTTCTGGCTGGTCTGGAACAGCCTCTTATTTCCTTCCTCTCAGCCCACATAGCTTAGCTTTCAAATGTTCCACCCTAATATGGACTCTTCTTCCTGTAGGTACAGTTTAGAAAAGTTCTCATGGGGAATGCAGGCAGTAGCTTTATTAACTGATGCCCTCAAGCTAAACAGAACCCAAAGAAGGTGTTCTGTGCCACATGCCAGAGTTGCGATACACTTGTATTCATTCATTCAAGACAACCAAAGCCCCATTCTGGGTACTAAGGGGATAAGGAGAAAAGGTCCATATCTGAATAGGACCACCCATCCCCTATTCTCAAAACTTTCATATTAGGCCATCTCATGACCCCTGGTAGCACGGTGAAGCCAAGGGGACCTCAGAAGCCTTTCCCAACACTTAATTTCTGAGAATCTTAACTTTCTAGGATTCCAGGGTTCTTTGATAAAGGACAGTAGCCCACAGGCCTGAGCACTCACTCCATGCAGGCCCCAGGCTGGTCTCCCAAATGCCACAACATCCCCCTTAAAAATAATGCTGAAAAGGAGGCATAGCTACAGTGTCTACTGTACAGATGAGAAAAGAGTGGCCCGATCAGAAAAAGGAAATTGTTTGAGGTCACCAAGTAGCCAGGTTGTCTGAATCCAAAAAGTCAACTTAGCCCTCCAATAGCCTAAGTTTTAGGAGGTGGGAGATAACAGTCTGACCGGCTGTGTGAATGAAGCAGAGGAAAGGAGTTTTATGGTCAAGAGACCGGGACAGGCTTCCATTAAGTGGGTGTGGGCATGGTAGAGCCTGTTTCCTCAAGGGCTGGCGCTGTTGCTTGTTCCAGAAAGGATTCTTGAGGGTGGGAAAGGGACAATTTTAACAGCATCTCGTACCCTGGCTGTGTGGGAAGAACAGTGGTTCCGGTGTTAACGGTGGCGCTACAGACTCCTGTAATCTGCCGTCTCCGCCGTCAGACCAGCCACAAGCTAATAATGCAGGCCAGTGGGGTCTGCCCTAGCCAAACTTCTCCCCACTTGACACTCAACCTCATCCTCTGCTGCCAGCCCCTAGTCGGGTATGAAGGCGGGGACCCGGACAGGCCCAATTGAGGGTAGGCCATTCTAAGCTGTGTGCTTTGCCGAGCACAGTTCCCAGGGGAATGTGTGGAAATGTCAAAGGCAACTCGATCCAGCCCATTTTCCTGCTCAGCGGCGGGATCCGGGGGAATCGAGTGACTGCGCTTACAGCCTGGAATACTCCACACCCACCCCCAGCGCCCCGCCCAACAGCTACAAAATCCAAAGGGACAGACTGAGGTCAAGAGGCCTGTCTCCCAATGGAAACCACGGCCACTCAGGTGTCCAGGCTCTCCCCACCCACTCAGCGGTTGCAGCGAAAGTTTAGCATCTATGCTCCCTCAGAACACCCTCCCCCCACAAGGTTCTCCTCCTGGGCTCACCCACGGCAGTGACCCCAGAAGTGGCGGCGAAGGTAGGCTCCCGCAGATTTTCACTCTAGCTGGAGTTGAGCTGCAGCGGCGCGGCGCTGAGCGCGGCCAGTAAGGGGACAGCTTAGGCCCCGCCCCCTGGCTGTCCGGCCATGCCCAGGTCTTTTGCTCTCGCCCGGCGCCTGGGCGTTCAGACCCGCCCCTGGCACCTCCCACATTGTCACGCGGACTTGAGGTTCCTCCCCTTTGCCTCCGCCTTCCTCCGACTGCTGTTTGCTAAACTCTGGGCATCTCAGGCCAGCCACTAGCCCGATGCCTCCCGGCTCCACCCCTGACTGGAGGCCCGCCCACGCTGGGGTGTTGCTTACCTGCCTGCGGGCGGGGCTCTCCTCCAGGCCTGCTGGGAAATGTAGTTTTGGAGCAAGGAACAGCTGTACAAGGTTGGAGTTTTTGCACCTCCAGGCTAAATTTGGGATGTATGTGAGATGGAGTGAGCTGCAGGGTAAAGGGTCAGGGCTGGCCCTTGGGATTCCTTCTCGTCCAGATTTGGACAAGTGGAGCCCCTCTTGGTATAACGCTCTCCTCACTAGCTCTTCCATATGATAAAAAGTTTCCCATGTGGCAAAAGGGTGATGGAAAGCTGGGAGAATTTCAGCGGCTCAGTACAGAGCGGATCCAATCAAGGACCCCAAGGAGGTATCTTGGTTTCACCAGAAGTGAGGTTCCCATCAGTCCAAACCAGCGGCAGTCAAGGTTAGGGACCTAGAAGACTGACTTCTCCTGGGTATTTTGCCCACACCCACTAGTGACCACCATTGGAGATTCCTGTGCTTCGAGGAAGTGGGCGTTCCCCGCCAAACCCCTGCCCGGGGAAGAAGTGAGGTGCCCAGAGATTCCAGAACACTCCACCCCTTGCTCCCTGAGGGACATAGAAGCAGGGCTTTGTTTTGTAATTTGAAATTTCTTGGTCATGAAACCCTCCAAAAATTGTTTTAGACCCCTTGGCTTGGGTGGGGGAGGGCAGTGAGGTTTCTGAACATAGGCTTTTGGGAGCTGTGATAGAGACTCTGGGAGTAGAGATCAAGAGCTATGGGTATAGGGATAGGGCTCTGACTGCAGAATGGAGGATTCTGGGTCCACTAAGACTCTAGATAAGACTATCTAAATTTAGGAGATATTGGAGAAATGTTAGGTGGATGGCTCTCCCTGCATGGCTAGGTGGACCTATTAGTTTGGGCTCTGGGGTGGAGAAGAGGAGCACACCAGGGGGATATGTTGTGTGTCAGGAGAGCACTCAGGGGCACCGAAGGGAAGTACTGAGATGATGGGAGTGGGAAGGGCTCAGGACAGGTTGACTTTGAAAATCTGCACCTCAGTTTAGGGGGCTTGACAGAGGCCTGAGTGAATGTTTCCTCACTGCTATATCTTGCTGGGTGAGCACACAGGAGGCAGCCGCCTATAGGGTGAAAAGTTTATTTATTGCTCAGGGTTAGGGACCTCCTTGGTCTGGTCCCAGCTCTACCAGCAGTGGTAGTCAGGGAAGGTCTCCGACACAAACTCAGGGTGGACAACATAGTTGTTTCTCTGGGGGCCACCAGTCTTCTTAAAGTGACTTATGTCCCACCTGTGAAGAGAGATGGGCTAGCCCTTTTGGACCCTCATCCATCTGATTCCAATTTTCAATGCTAACCTTCTCCCAACATTTTACCCCTAATACTGGTCCAACACTGACCACAGGTTCTACTGTCAAATTTTTTATTTCAAATACCCGCTCCCTAACATTGACTTCTTACTGTCTACTTCAAGGCCTGAACCTAACGAGCTGATGTCTCGACTCTAAGTCCCATTGCCAACCTGTAACTGCTCAATGCAGGCCTCCCCGCACTCTTGGGGTCCTCCAGTTCCTTGCCAGTTTTCTCTCCCCCATGGCACTAGCGCCCTCTGGTGGTATCTTCCTGTCGGTGCATCGCAGCGGACAGTTTCCACCCCAAATATTCCCCGGGTTCCCGCTGCGTCAAGGAAACAGCCTCCACTGTGCATGTTCTTTTGCGGGTGTGTGCCAGACTTACCTAAGGTTAGGACATGGGTAGTATGACGGCAGGGGACTTATAACAGCACATTGCATTCCGGGCCGGTGCTCGTAGGGTGATACACTCCTGGAGGAGGAAGCGGTGGGCAGGGAGGGATCGGGCTTTTTGATTTTCCCCTACCCCACAAGACCAGACCAGGACTCCGAGCGACGCTGCAGGAGTCAGTCCTACGACTCAGAGGTTCTCCCCTCAGGCCTACTGGCCCTTCAAGAAACCATGGAAACATCGCCTCTGGCAAAGACACCTGAAAGTCCCCCTCCCCGTAAGGCCTCACTTCCGCGCCCACACCGGGCTGTGGTACACGCTGGACTCTGGGGAGGGTCGTTGAGAACCTGGGAGTTCCCGGGTCCTCGCCATGGGATAGCAATTACTCTACACTATTGACGGGGTGACATTTCTGAGGCTCAGGCACTTTCTCTTCCCCCTACTCTTGCAAGGGATAGGATCCAGTCTCGCACAAGGAATCAGGGGCGGAGGGTACCACCTTGGGGTTAGGGACAGGGTTCAGGAACAACCCCTGCACAGCTGTTGTGACTGACGTGGACATTTTTGTTTTCCCAGGTTCAGCCCGCCTTGTCTGCCGCCGGGTGCAGAGAGAAGGCTGCGCTACAGTCGGCTGCAACTGAGCGCTTGGGCCTCAGTTTTCTCAGCAATAACAAGCGAGGCTGAATACCTCCAGAAGTGGTGCAAGGCTCCAAGGAGGCCAGGGCCGTTCTGGTAATCCAGTCACCATTTCCTTGCACACTTAGCACTGGGCAATAACCCTGCCCATTACTGACGGTGACCCGAGGGTCAGGAATAAAGGACAATTCTGAGAACACCAGGGCCGAGTGTCCAGGTAGGGAGTGGGGTCGGCGGGCGTGGAAGGGAATGTGACTGGTGAGCGGGATTTCTTAACAAAATCTTTCGGCGGGGCCTCCAGAACAGATACGGGAGCCTTGAGCACAGTTCCGCAGAGACAGGATCGGAAACTTGGGGGGGATCTTCGTGCAGGTTCTCCTGCTTCAACGGTCCGTTCAGGCCATGGAGCCGGAGGGCGGGATAGGGCAGGACCCAGTAAGGGAGCCTAGCGGGATGGAGGTGGGGTGGGACCTGGTGTAGAGGCAGGTCAAGGCTAGAAATGGTGCAGGATGGAGCGCTTGAAGCCAGGGTACGGCTGGACTCTGGGGATCCGGCTTGTTTGGGGATGGGGCCCGGCTGAGCAGGACGGGGCCCTGCGAACCTTACAGTCGGTTGCACTGGGCACAAAGGCCGAAGGTGGCGTTCATTGTAGGGCGCCCCGGTGGCGCAGTAGTCCATCCCGCGCAGACAGTAGTGGCGGCCGGAGCAAGCACTTTCATAACCCTGGAAGGGCAGGCGGCCCGGCTGCGGATCTATGCACCCGCATCGGGGCGTGATCTGCGGCAGTGTCTGGTTCCGTGACAGAGAGTTCAGCATGTTCACCACCACCTTGCGCTCTGGGCCCGCAAGTCCCCAGACCGGGAGACCCAGACAGTCAAAAGAATGGGAAGAGACGGGGTGAGAGGGAGGGATGGAGACAAAAACAGGGACAGATAGAGACAGGGTTAAACCCTCTTCAGGGCCCTCGGCTTCCACCTCATCCCACAGGTCCCCATCCCACTCTCTTTCTTCCCACTACCCATTCCCTTCCACCACCTCGCCATCCGTTACCATAGGCATTGAGTCGCTCCGGCTTAGGAGGGTACTCCAAGGGCATTCCTCGAGCTACTGTCTCCATTCCAGCCTCCTGGAAATGGCACACAGGCTACCTCAATCTCTGACCCAGAAGGACACTCTTTCGGGGGTTCTCCCTCCCAGAACCCGCAGACCAGTTCCAAGCCTTGCCTCATCCCGCCCATGTGCTCCTGCCTCTCCCAGGCTCTAAGTGTTTAGAGCTGTCTCTGGGCAACGCGTTTACTCCGCCTGCTTGGGGAGGGGCGGGAGGAGGGAATGAAACTAGTTGGACTGAGTGGGGACCTGAGCCTCTGACAACACTGCCTCAGCGTTTTCTTTTGATTTTACCCCTTTTTGTCTAGCTGACTGTCTAGCTATGTCTCCGTGTTTCTCTCTCTTCTTAAAAAAGGGTTGTGTTTTTTTTTTTGTTTTTTTTTTGTGTGTGTGTGTCTCTAACAAGTGTTTTCAATATTGCCTGCCCATCAGAATCACCTGGGGGAACTAGTGATTCCTGGGGGATTCTTGGGGAAGTTCTGATTCAAAAAGGTTCAGTCAACCTGAGGACAGCCATCATTCTACAGTTGAGAACCCCTGCTCTGGTCTCAGAGCCTCTTACCTCCCTCTTCCCTTAGTCCTGGGGCTGCTGCTGGACTCCTTCCTTTCTCTTTGGGAGATACTTCTATATTTATCTGCACTGCTTATGAGTGCAGTTAAGGCCTATTCTCCCTCCTTTCATCCTTGCTTACATCACAAAGGAGGGGAGAGTGGAGCAGGTAGACTCAGCCTATTACTGATTCTTTGGCCAGACATGTGGGAAGGAGCTAAATGGCAAGCTTCAGGAAGGTAGCACATTAAGGAGTGTACACTAGCCATGTCCCCAAAGAACCTGGCCAGAGATTGGGACATGGTGGACCCGGTCCCCAGAGATTGGGACCCAGGGATTTAGCATAGCTCCCCTCCTGGGTTCCTTTGTCTCCTGGAAAATACAAACCCTAATTTCACAGATGGGAAAGAGCCCTGGGCCATTGTTGATGGGAAAGGGATGAGTAATTAATGGTGAAATATCATCCACCGTGCTTTGGGAGGGGGATGTGAGTGTGTGTGTCCAAGGCCCCATCTGTGCCGGGCATAGTAGATACCTTAGGTAGCTGGGGAAGGCATGTGGCATACTTGTTCCAGCCAGTGCAGTGGCAAGGTCCCATTCTCCATGTGTTATACCGGTCACTACACAAGTAGTTTGGGTTGCATTTGTCTGCTTGATTATAGGAGCGGAGACATAAGACAGTGTTATTCCTTACTCCATCCCAGGATCTGAGACCCCCAAAATGTTTTCTCCTCTGATCCCCA